AAACCCCTAAACCCTAAACCTCGGATCCTTTGTGCCAGGGGGTTATGTCTGCAATGCTCATGACTGTGGCCGCTTCCAAGCTCTACGCTGGACCCTGTGCCGAAATCAGATGGGGTTTAGGGCTTTATGGTTTAGGGGTTTAGGGGTTTAGGGTTTTATGGTTTAGGGGTTTAGGGTTAAGGGTCTAGGGTTTTAGGGTTTAGGGTTTAGGGTTTAGGGCAGCAGCAGCAAGAAGCAGCAGAGTCCGAAGTACCAATTGCCACAGCAGCCATAGTCATCGTGTTTACGGAGCAACGAACACTTGACTCACATGGGGCGTGGCCTGTGTTCGGCTGACTAGGACGAGGGATTGCCCGCACTTTGTGTGTTGGGCTTCTCAGACTTTGGGGTTCAGATTTTCGCAATTACATAGACATGTGAGCTTGTTCAGCAACTTTGTGTATCTCTGATCGAAGCATGGTGCCGTAATGTGGCTGTTGTAGTTTTTGGCTCATTGGGTAGGCTTTTGCGCCGGCATATGGTTGGTTTGCTCTAAGTCCTGTTGCGAGTGATGGATATGAGAGGCACCGAGGCACCGCCAGTCCTTACTATGTTTTGGGTGCTTGACCGGACCTTTTTGAACCCTGAACAGGGAATAATACTGAATCGGTTGGGGACTGCCTGAAGCCATGATCAGCAAGCTTGGGCCGTTATCTGCAGTTGGATCCACTTCCAAGATGGATGCTGAAGTCTGGCTTGAAACGTAGATTTGTAGTATTGGTTTGGTGAGAGTATATAGGGCTCCTTGCAAATGTTGGTGAAGGTGTAATCTTTGGGGTATTACTCTGGGGAGACCATCAAAACAAGCCTGTTTCACATCTGAACCGGCCAGCTCTGCGTTGACCCTCAACCCTGAACCCTAAAACCCCAACCCTGAACCCTAAAATCTACTGAAAAATCTCAGCCTGCGTTGCCATATCTGCTGCGAGCGATGAGGTCAGGACATCTCGACCGTGCCAAACTCAGATCCACTGGCCCTGTCAGGGGTTCCTTTAGGGGTTCTATGAGGGTTACGACAGGGGAGGGAGGAGCCATGCTGCTAATGACTCAGAACCCCTAAATCAGCCCTTGTTCGGTTGTTCAGGGTAGGTTCCCTGGATGTATGAAGAAGTTATACCCTAGCTTGACATTCGACTGCGCAGGCTTTTCATCTAGCTGTTCTGCTGTTCTTAGCCCCAAACGTCCGAGCCGTGGCCTTGCGTCCCCGGGCACTGTCATTAGTCTGAGCAGGTTTAGGATTTAGAGGGCTTAGGGCTTAGGGCTTAGGGTTAAGGGCTTGGGCTTAGGGCTTAGGCTTAGGGCTTAGGGTTTAGGGCTTATAGGGCTGATAGGGCTTCAGGGGGTTAGGGTTTCAGATAGTCACACGCACAGCCACAGGTTGCATGGGGAGCGACCTGGAGGTCCGCATTAGGGGAAGTGGAGGTCTGAAGTTAGGGTTTAGGGTAGGCTTGCAATTTCTACAACTTAGCGATGACGTTCTCCCCACCCATGTCTAGGTG